AAGGCATGGCTGCAGCAGCTGTGGGACAAGCTTTGCTCTCTGCTTCTATCCAGGCCTTACTGGATAGGATCACCTCAAGCGAGCTTCGAGATTTCATGAACAACAGAAAGCTGAATGTCTCTCTCATGGATGAGATGAAGATTACTCTGTTGATGCTCGATGCTGTCCTCAACGACGCGGAAGAGAAGATGATCACCAATCATGCAATCAAGGAGTGGCTTGAAGAGTTGAAAGATGCTGTCTATGATGCTGAGGATTTACTGGATGAGATCAACACTGAGTCTCTCAGATCCAAGGTTGAAAAAGATTCTCAAAACGTCGCTAAACAGGTGCTATCCTTCTTTTCTTCTTCTTTTGGTGAATTTAATGGAGGATGAACTCCAAGCTAGAAGCAACTTGCCGAAGGCTCGAACACTTCCACCAAGCAGAAGGATGTCCTTGGTTTGCAAAGTGTTAGCTTGAGAGTGCATAAAACACCTTCAACTTCACTGGTAAATGAATCCTATGTGGTTGGTAGAGAGGATGATAAGGCGAAGCTAATGAAAATGCTTCTGGGTGATGAAGATCCAAAGGGTAATGTCATAGGAGTGATCACTATCTGGGGAATGGGAGGGTTGGGTAAAACCACCCTTGCTCAGCTCCTTTACAATGATGAGAAGGTGCAGAAGCATTTCGATTTGAAGGCTTGGGCATGTGTTTCAGATGATTTTAGTGTTTTGGAGGTGACAAAGAATCTTCTTGAGTCCATCACTTCAAAAGTCTATGATAGTAAAAATCTAGACTTTTTTCGTGTTGAATTAAAAAATAGCTTGACTAATAAAAGGTTTTTTGATCGTGTTGGATGATTTGTGGAATGAGAAATATAGTCATTGGGATGACCTTGTAACCCCTTTTCACAGTGGAAGAAGGGGAAGCATAATCATCGTAACAACTCGTCAAAAAAGAGTTGTTGAAATCACACACACCTTCCCTGTACATGAGTTGCGTTGTCTCTCGGATGATAATTGTTGGCTTTTACTCTCCAAGCATGCATTTGCAAATGAAGATCCGAACAAATATCCAGAGCTAGGAGCAATCGGTAAGCAAATTGCAAGAAAATGTGGTGGCCTCCCAATTGCTGTCAAAAACCATTGGAGGTCTTTGCGTTCAAAAGTGGATGAAAAGGAATGGAATAAAATTCTAAATAGCAACCAGTGGGACATACCAAATGATGATGTTATGCCTGCTTTGCGTCTGAGTTATCTCTATCTTCCATCACATTTGAAGAAATGCTTTGCTTATTGCTCAATCTTCCCTAAAGATATGTTGTTGGAGAAAAAGAAATTGGTCTTGTTATGGATGGCAGAAGGCTTTGTACACCAACAATCCCATGGGGAGAAGACATTTGAAATGGAAGCAGATGACTACCTTAGTGAATTTTGTGTAGGTCATTCCTTCAACAAGATGGTGGTGATCGAAGAAAGTTTGTCATGCATGATCTCATCAACGATTTAGCCAAAGTTGTATCTGGAAAAAGTTGCCTATGGTTTGAAGGCCAAAAAATTTCAAAACCTACTCTTCGTCATTTATCATATCCTATGCAATGGCATGACAGCTCTAAAAGGTTTGAGAACTTTTATCAATTAAATTGTTTGAGGACTTTTTTACCCCAATCTATGTACGGTGAGTTGGCACATTGTTCATTGAGCCGAAAGGTACTACGGGATTTGTTGCCAAAACTAAAATGTTTAAGAGTACTGTCTTTGTTTAACTATCCAGATGTCAATGAGCTACCTGATTCAATTGGTAATTTGCAACATTTGCGATATCTAGACCTTTCTTGGAGTGTAGAATTGAAAGATTGCCTGATACAGTCTTTACACTTTACAATTTGCAGACATTGCTTTTGTCAAATTGTAGGTGTTTTAATGAATTGCCAGGAAAGATAGAAAGGCTTATTAATCTACGTCACTTGGACATTAGTGGCACCGCTTTAAAGGAGATGCCTAGACAAATTACAAAACTAGAAAATCTCCAAAGTTTGAGTACCTTTATCGTGGGCACACAACCGACTGGATTGGGAATTAAAGAGTTAAAAAAGCTCCCTTGTCTGCAAGGTAAACTTTCCCTTTCAAAACTAGAAAATGTCGTTGATTCAATGGATGCTTTGGAGGCAAACTTGAAGAGGAGAGACAAAATTGAGGAGTTAGTTTGAAATGGGATTGTGATGCTCAAGATTCACAAATCGTGAAAAATGTCCTCAACATGCTACAGCCTTCAATAAATTTACAGAGATTGACCATCAACTGGTATGGTGGCACTAACTTTCCGGATTGGGTGGGAGATTCTTCATTCAAGAATATTGCATATTTATCAGTTAGTGATTGCAAGTATTGCTTTTCGCTCCCGTCATTTGGACAATTACCTTCTCTTAAGGAGCTTGTTATTAAACGAATGGCATTGGTACAGACAGTTGGACGTGAGTTCTATTGCGGGAATGCAGAGTCCTCTTCGTTTCAACCATTTCCATCCTTGGAAATTCTAAAATTTGAAGATATGCCTGTTTGGGAGGAATGGATATTGTTTGATGGTGAAGGTGCCAAATTTCCTTTTCCTCATCTCAAACGTCTGAGTTTATATGATTGTCCTATGTTGAAAGGAGACGTGCCTCATAACCTTCCATCATTGACAAAAGTTTCTATTTCCAATTGCAAACGGTTGGACGCAAAATCAACAGCTTTGCATTGGATTGCATCTATTGAAGAACTAGCAATTAAGCAAGGGGAACAGGGGTTATTGGGAGCTCTTGATTATTATTCTCTGGACTCTTTGAAACATATGACAATTGAGAAGTGTGATTGCTTGCGGTCATGCCAAGAATGATAATGGGTAGCACATTCTTGTAGAGTTGTCTCTCAAAGATATCTCATCAACCATGTCCTTTCCAATTGAAGGTTTGCCTGCTTCTTTGCAACGTCTTGTAATTCAAAATTGTGAGGAGTTAGAGTTCGTACCTCAGGAATCTTTACAAACTGCACATCACTTGAACACTTGAGGATTGTGAATAGTTGTCATTCCTTGGCATCCTTTCCATTAGGTGGTTTTCCCAAGCTTAAAACCCTTGACATCAGTGATTTTCAAAATTTGGAGACCTGTTACATATGTTGGGGGGTCTGCTCTTCCCTTGGAAGCTTTTTCGATTAAAAGTTGCAAAAAACTTAGATCAATGTTAGAAGTACACATTGATTCCGTTGCCAGCCTTCAACGTTTTATCTAAGAAGTCTTCCAAATTTGGAATCATTGCCTCAATGTGGTTTGCCTTCTAATTTATGATCTTGGAAATTAATGACTGTGAGGGACTATCTTGTATACCAATTGAAGATTGGGGTTTTCAACGGCTGACTTCTCTCTCAACATTGTGGTTGGAGGTGATGGAGGTGAAACTATACTCCATAATTTACTAAACAATCAATTACTGCCCAACTCTCTTGTGAATATCTCCGTATTGGAGTTTCTCTAATCTTAAACGGTTTGATAGAAAATGGCTTCAGCACCTTACTTCTCTCAAAGATCTCTCCATCTGGAATTGTCCAAATCTTGAATCCTTGCCAGAAGATGCGCTGCCACCCTCTCTTCTTCTGCTATATATCCGCGCGTGTCCTAAATTAGAAGAAAGATATAATTTTGAAGGAGGAAAACACTTGTCTGACATCTCTCATATTCCAACCGTAATAATTAATGGTGAAGTACTATGATCTTTGAGATGGTGCGGCATTGCGTCAAAAGGTGAGCTTTCTAATTCCAAAACAATCAAACTTTTCAGTATTGTTTTATTTTCCCGCAAATAGTTTTTTCCTTTTTTTCCCATTTCCACTACACACATAAAATTTTTGGTCTTCCCATCATAATTTTTATTTTGGTCTTCCCTTCATAAAACATTACTTATAGGAAACATCTTACTTACATCATATATACCTCAAGTTGTTAAATTTTCTTAGCCAAGACCAGCAATGCTTCTTCAATTTTTATTTTCTCGAAAAACCTATAACCTTGTGAAACTTGTGGTTTAATTTAGAGTACTATACTTTCTCATCAAAATAAATATAAATAATAACAATAATAATAATATCACTGTTGATAATGTTTGTTATACTATTTGTGCACATCTGAAGAGTGAAAGAGAATTATAGATGGCATCATTTTTTGTTTGAAATGGTCAATTAATTATCAAGTCACTAGTGATGTGAGTTAATTATAAAAGTTGAAAAGATTTAGAGCCATATCTAATTAGTTGACTCGTTCTAGCATATTTAATATCTGTGCTTGATTAGATATTTTTGAACCCGATGCACATATATATATGTAATGAGATGTGAGTTCTAATATATGTCCGTATGTATGTTAAGTAGCTTTAATTTTTGATTTTATAAGATTTATTGTTTTGATAAATTAGGTTAAAGAAGATGAGGAAGCAGTCAAAAAGAGACAAATATGATATGCAGGGACGGAGGGCAAAAAGCTAACCCCCACATTGTTGTGGCTAAGTACAGGTCTATATTTTTAATGTTTAATGATTTTTTATAAAAAAATGTAAAAGCATTTCAATGGATCTGATTCTTTATTTTTATATTATTAGGTTAGAAAATATGAAAGGAGTTCACAAGAATTGCTCAACTTTCAGCACCAAGAGCTGGTAAGAAACTAAGTAATCCTCTCTTCATCTTCTTGAAATTCATAACTAATTAATGATAAATGTGTGTGTGTAGACACACAACACACTTTATGACGAGTTCATTTTTCAGATTTATTTTGGTAAAAGATGATCTTGGTATGGTTGAGGCTTATGGTTTTTAAAATAATATATGCTAATTACAAGGTTTTTAATTTAATAAAATCATTATATGAAAATTCAAGTTAATAAAACTATCCTAGTTTTATATATATTCACCCATTATTTATAAAAGTCAATTTAAAGTTTAACTGAATGCTTTTCTTTTAATTGGATATTGCCCTTAACTTTTTAATTACTTACTCTAAAATTTCATTAAGTAGAATATTATAGGCTTTTCAATATGCAAAGCAATGGCCAAGTGTCAACTGAAAATATCACATGTCAGGTAATACTTATAGTTAAAAGAAAGTAAACCACTTTTTAAATTGTTGTGATTGAAAGCTTCCTAGAGTTACAAATCTAATATGATATTCTGGTTTGATAATTCATGTTCAAATAGGTGAAGAAATCAATTAGAATTGCTCTGTTTTAAACAGAGTCATATGAGAAGCGAAGAAGGCAGGTAAAAAACTGATTCAACTGTAATTACTTTATCTCCTTATTTATGTAATATCAATCCCACAATTAAATGAACATAAAGCAGATGTTTTTAGCTATGTACATATA